TCAATAGATATGGCTATATAAAGTTTAGAACCCACTTTCCTTTTTTTTTTTTTTTATGTTTGACATTTTTAGAAATAGGGTTAAAAAATCTGAAAATATGCAGTTTTTATTCATTTTCAACGGTTTTTATTTTGTTTTTGTTTGCTAAAACAAGAGGTTTACAAAAAAAATAGTAAAAAAAAATATAGTAAAAATAAATTCACTGAAAAAAAGAACGTAGGTTTTAAATTTGTTATTTAAAATTGAATTTTATTATTTAAATTTCAATTTAAAAAGAAAATTTTAAAAGAAAATCACTGTTTTTTTTTTTTTTTAAAACTTGAAATAAAAAAATTTAAAAAAATTTAAATAAAATAACCTTAGTTTTTTTAATTATTCAAAAAAAGTTTACATTATAAAAAAATTAAAATAATAAATACTGCCTAGCTCTTTTATATATTATATTATAGGTATCTGGTTGTTTGAAGAGTTTTCTTTCTGGCGAATTTACACCAGCTTTTGATAAACCAGAACAACTTTTTGACTTTATCATGACAGCTATCAAAAGTTTTTCACCAAATGCCCAACCTTCATTTGATATAATCTTGCATCTTGCAGCACATGAATTTTATGACATGGTTTGTTGAATTTAAACTTTACCTTGATTTGTTTAGATAATGTTTTTTTTATAAATATCAAGATAATACTTTAATGATTTTCTAGTTTTTATCATTCTTGTTCAGAAGCTAAACAAATATGAAATAAGTGCTGGAACTTCAAAAACAAAAGAAGATCTCTTACAAATGTACAAATCCTGGGTTGAGCTTTATCCTATAATTGGTTTTATTGACCCATTCCATGCTAATGTAATTTTTTTTTTGTAAAATTTGTGTATACTTTTTAAATAATGATAAAGTTATACAAAACCCCTCAAAAAATGAGTATCTGTTTTTAAAGATTACTAGTTTACTAATAGTTTATAATTTTTTATAAACTTTTAATTGATATAGAAAAATTTTTGTGAATGAAAATAAATAATAATAAGAACTTTCAAATGCTTTATAGTTGTTTTTTTTTGTTATTCTTTCATTATACTTTTTTTAAAGGTAATTTAAATTTTGCAAAGTTTTTTTTTATATATATTTTTGTGCAATTTTATGCTTAAAGGATGGTTCAAGTTACATTTTGTTGCACTCAGCTTTGTCCAGTAGTTGCTATATTTTTTCAAGTCAAGCTTTTAATGAAAAAACTGTAAAAAAGATGTTAAATGAAAAACTTGTTGATGGATTTTTAATCAACCCAGAAGAAGTTTGTCAAACATTATCTGATGCTTTATGTTTGGTTAACTTGATTAAAGGTATGAAGTTTTAAACTCAACAGAAAAAGGTCCTTTTTTAAAAGTTAATGACAGATATTAGTTAATGATTTTAGTAATACAATAAAAAAACTTAAATAGTTACAAATGTTCTTTTGAAATAATGGAAATTAAAAATTAGTCTGAGTCAAATGGTTAAAAAAAACATTTGAAAATAATCCCATGTGAGTTACACAATAATATACATAAATTTATGCATAACAAATATATAAAGATTATTTTTTTGTTGTTGTTTGCTTATCATTTAAGTGTAATTCAGACAAATTTTCATTATGCTGTTTTCATATTTAAATGAAGCAGCATTATTATAAATAAGACATTGTTTCTCTTGAACATTAGGAGGTGTATGCATTTTTGTGCTTCACATTTAATTTGCATTTTTTGCTCCTAACTTTTTACTTCTTTTAACTTTTTGCGTATTTTGTATTGTTATACATGATTATACTTTTTGCAAGGATATAAATGTACAAAATGAAAATTAATTTCAAGTTAAATAGTAATTTAAATAAATATTTATGGTTTTTCTAAAGAGTCTTTTAGGTACTTTCATGTGCTATCATCACTTGTTTCATCAACTAAAACTCTATCACTTTATAAAATTTGTTCGCTTATACTGTATTATCCTTCATACTCAAAAAACTTATATTCATCTAGTTATTTTCTTTGAACATTGGAGCTTTAGAATTCTCTCCCATCTTGATGTTTTCCTGACACATGCAATTCACAGTTTTTTAAGTCTTCTGTAAACTGTTTGTTGCTTTTTAACTTCCTTTGTTTTCTGTTGATTCCCAACTTAATTAGTGGTTGCATGCGGCCTTGTTGGTTGTGAATTTGTTAAAAAAAAAAAAAAAGTTAAAAACTTGTTATCTTTTTTTAACAAATTCACTTTAATTTATTTAAAATTAAAGTTCAAGGCACATAGAGTTGGGTTTAGGAAAAATCATTATTTTGTGTTACCAATATCTAATACAGACTATTAAACAAACAATAAAATATAAGTAAAAGTTATTTAATAGCTTTGTTTGCTGCAGTTTAATATTTTAATCCCTCTGAACTTCTTATACGCAGAAGCGGGTTAAACCAGAAGATTGAACTTTATTTTTGTATTCTCTGTCTCAAACTTAAGGGCTTGAGCATATTGGGTTACCTTTTGTGACATTTTGCACAGAAGAAGTAGGGTTCCCACAGTACCTTAACTTCTTATGTTATACAGACAGGTTGTTAAACAATGATATAATCAAAATTTATATTTAATATGTTTTTCTGCAGATCATTCTGGAAATTTGATTATGAGAGATCAATGGTTTAGCAAACAAAGTAACAGCTTAGCAGTAGATTTGGTTAGTATAAATGTAATTGATTTTTTTTCATTTGCAAAGATTATAAAATTTTACACAGAAAAATGTAGGTAATGTGTAGGATATACCATTTTTTAGCTTTTATAAATAATACAGAAAGAGCAATGTCATTTTATTAGGTAGCATTTTTTTAAATTATCTTTTTTAAAATCTTTTTTTATTCAATTCTTATCATCAAATTAAAATCTAATTTTATTGCAAAATAATCCAGTTATTTAAAGTAAAGTTTTTTAAAAAAATGTAACATTACATAAGTCAAGTTTACTAAATATATTAATTCAACAACTATTAATTAAACAAATGTAATGCAACCTGCATTGCATTTGTTTAATATATACATTAAATTATTTGAAAATTAAAAGAAAGATCTAAATTCATTATTATCATCATATATAGAGTTAAACATGTACAATTTTTTTCTTGTAAAGAATTTATTGTAGATTGTTTTGTTTATTCTATGGATAATAAGATAATAGATAATGAAAATTTGCTCATTTTCTTTGTTACAAGAAAGTTTTTACAAAAAAATTTCTAACTGATAGACTTTACATATTTGACATACCTAGATCTCATAACCCCATTTTTGGTTACTGTTTTGCTAGTATAAAAACAATAATCTTAAAAAATAATAATAAATGTATATAATAATTAATAATATTTATATACTATAAATTAACTTTGTTAAACTTTTCATAACAGTATTAACTTTATGTTACTTATAGAATTTCATCTCAATTATTTTTTATTAAATCTACAACCATTTTTTGTCATTTTTAATTTTTTTGACAATTTCATTTGCTATTTAATTTACCAAGTTGTTTTTGATTCTAATTACAATGAAAAACTCAAAAAAATTTAATTTGTGTTTTAAAAATGTATCTTAAATAAAAAATAAAAATAAAATTATTTTTTAATCATTGTTTATTAAATTTATTAAATCTTCCAAATATATTAAATAAAGTCCTATTGAAATAAAATACTAATCAAATAAATATATTCAATAAAATAGTGGTTAAGCTATATGGCTTCTTTTCAATGTATATATCTTTATTTAAACTGATTTCGAATAAAAACAAATTTTATGTTTATTATGTAAATGACATTTGAATTTATTTTAATGAAAGTAAATTTAAACATTTTATTATATTTCATAAAATGATGTCTAAATTAATTGTTTTTTTTTTTTAAATAAAGCTGCATTAAAAGTTGAGGTATTTTTCTGTTTAAAATGTTTTTACTTTTAATAATATTTAAGTTAGTTTTTAATTTTTCATTATGGCAACTGTATTTAATTTTTTAATGCTTTGTTTATCTTGTTTGAATTTTTTTTTAGTCGATTTCATTTGGATGCTTGTTTTTCCAAATTTCTTCTACAAATAGTATGTCTTTATGTCGTCTAGTATCTTGTTACTCTGAATTAAAGAGGAAAGGTTGTTTAATTGAAGAAGAGAGTTATGCTTTTAAAAACATTTTAAATGTGTTGAATGAAAATCATGTTGACAATGTTAAATAAATATTAGAAAAACATAAAAACATGGAAATTAGTAATATTGTTAAAATCATATAATTACATGTTGTTGCTAGATAAAATTTGTTATTGTAATATAGCCATTAGTGGATTTATATAACTATAAACTTAAATCTTTATTGTCATTATTTTTTGAAGATGAAACATTAAAAATAGTTGTATGTTTTATTTTCAAAGTTTTAAAATATTCTCCTAATATAAAAAAATATTTTTCTTTTCTTTATATTCTTCAAGTTACTTAAGTTTTTATAATTTATTTTAATAGTTTTTGTAATATGTTTGAAAAGTTTTTGTAATGTTTTTAAAAACTTTTTATATTTTATTTGAAAAGTTTTTATAATTTATTTGAAAAGTTTTTCTGTTTTTGTTTTGATGTTGCTTTTTCGATTGCTCACAAATTTTATTTTTTTATTTTATTGTTTTCGCTTGATTTGTTTAGATATAATGGTTTGTATAGTTTGTGTCAAGCAATTAAATTAACAAACAATTTTTTTCTAACAATCAAACAATGCTACAAGGAAACACTATTTAAGTTGGGAGTTACTAAAGGGTAACTTCCTATTTGGTGCTCTCCAGGCTGTTACAGAAAAGAGACCACATCTACAATCACCTACTTGTCTTATTTGTCTTACTTCTTTTTTTTAGTCAGTATCATTTGGATGCTTGTTTCTCTCTAAATCTTAGTTTTTAAAAAATAATTTCTATTTTAAGTAATGACTTATTATCAAAACTAGATTGTATCATTAGTAGATAAAGCAACCTTAAAGTTAAAATTGTTAAGAAGATTATTAATATAGATTAGTAACAAAATGCAGCAAAAAATGGGACCTTGTACCTAGTACCTAGTACCTCAAAGTTTCCCAGAAAATTATGAGAGTAATGTCTTAGAGAGTAGGACTTTAATTATGTGATTAGAAAGGAAAGTTTTAAGTAACTTCTTAAACTTTCCTTAGTATGACAATACCTTTCTTTGTATGCTACACCATACAAAGTAAGTAGATAAGGACATATCAATTCAAAAAAAAAGAAAGTATGACAATGTTGGTAATGACTTTTTTGCATATGATACACCATACAAAGTAAAAATGTAATGAAAAAACCTTTTTTTTTCTATAGTACAGCATACCAAAAAAGCTTAGAAAGAATATTATTGTGTCAGACCTTATTAAATGTCTTTCATATGTCAAGAACAAGTCCTATTGCTTCCATCTAATGCACCTTAAAATTTTTGTGTCATTTCCGTCAACGGAAGAATAAAAGGATCAAAGTTCATATTTTTTGTCAGAGAGTAAGTTTTTAACTCCAAGATGAGATATTAGAAGTTTGTAAGATAATTATTAAAAAACTTTGATTTAGATAAAACTATACTTAATGGGCCAGAGCCATCCCTAAAGTTTTTAAAAATGAAAACCACAGATGTCACTTCCAGCCATTTGGAAAACACCATTCAGGTAAAAAGAATGCTTTTAGGAAATAAGTTATTCATCAGAAACTGGAGTGATTTAGACTTTTACCCATGGATTCACCTGTTTCTTAGTGTTGTACAGAAGATTCTAATAAATATGGTCATTAATTTTATCAGATAAATTATAGGATAAGTTTTATGCTAATAGTTCTGCCTTATCCTTAATGATGATTTATGTATGAGAGATGGAATGACAGACTTGTCTTTGTTTATGACACTGTTAAAGATTTTTCAAAAGTTTCTAGAACCTAACTTCTTGGTAAAAACTTATTTGACTTAAAATATATTTTGGTAGGAATAGTTACGGTTAGAAATTGTGGTTGCATAAGAAGGAGAAAATCAAAAAAAAAGCAAAGTTTTTAAAAAGGGACTATAAATGTAATAAAATTTAGAGTTTTAAAAATGTAAATGATTATTAAAAATGTTGTTGAGTTTAACCTAATTAAGCTGCTTTTTAAATTTTTTTATTTTTTATCTGTTGTTCTGAAAAATGACTTTATTACTATAGAAGACCCAAAGCAAAACCTCAATTATTTGATCAGCCAAATCTTACTGATAAATTATTTTTTCTATAATAATCCACAAAGAAATGGTAATTCTTTTTAATCAATTGTTTATTAAAAGAATTATTATGATAATTTTATAATAAAATAAAATTTTCATTTTGTATAAAATATGAAATTTAGTTTATTAAATTGAAAAAAATTTAAAGTTGTTTATATACTTAGAACAGATTATTTCTAGGTTTTCTAAAATGATTGTTTTATTTTAGAAATGTTATTTCAAATGAATATTTATAAACATTTTAAGTTGAGTTACTTGCTGGTGAATTTGCTTCATATACTATACGATATTACAGGGTTTTTTTGTTTTGTTTTACAATATTTAATGAAGTCAGAGATGTATTTAAAATTGCTTTTCAACCTTTTTTTTTTTTTTTTCCTTCTGCCTCATGGACATTTTGAAAAACTATTTTATTAGACCTGTGAATCCTTTTTTTATTACTTTGTAGCTCCTTGACGTTCTTATTATAAAATTAAACTGACCTTATATTGGGAAAGGCTTTTTTATATATGGTGATGGCAATTAACCTAGAAGAGAAAAACTTTAGTATAAAACACCTAATTTAATCTAAAGTAAGGATAGGAGGATAATAAATGCTAAAAAATACTCAGTCCTAATCTGTCGGCAGTTTAATGCAATGAAGGGTTTCTGGTTGTAAAATATTGCTTTTTCTTCATTTAAATATAAAAATGGCATTATGAAAGCTTGTCTAAAATTACACAAGTTTTGAACCAAAATTACACCAGTAGTTGTGTTTAAAAAAATTTTAGATAAAAAAAACAACCTTGAAATTGGTATGTTTTTTAAAAATGTTTTTTTCTGTTTTGCAAATTTTTTATTTACGTAAAAGTATAATGCCTCATAAAATGAGGCATTATACTTTTACGTAAAAAAAAAGTTGTTTTTCCAAGTTTCTTCTACAGTCTTGAGTTGCCTAGTATCTGGCTGTTCTTAATTGAAGATTAAAGGTTCTTAATTGAAGAGAAAGGAATTTAATTAGAATAAGAGAATTATTTATATGTGTTGGATGAAAGTCATTCTTTCTATGCCATGCAAAATTAAAAAATTTAAGAAACAAAAAATTTATTTATCAATTATCATTTGTATTTGTTAAATTAATTATTACATACATGTTTTTTATTACAAATAAATAAACAAAAAAAAAAGCATTAAAGATAAAGTAACAAAAATGAACAAACTAATCAGACAATCTTCATTATACTTTATATATGTTATAATTTAATATTTAAATTTTCATTTATTTATTCTTAGACTAATTTCACAAGTATGAGACAACCAAAAAGAGCAACTTTGACCCCCTTTTCCATTTTGCTATTTTATAAAAAAAAAAAGCAATATTTTATGGGATTTTTTATTTTTCACTACTTAATGAAGTCAGAGACAATTTTATAGAGTCTAAACCATATGTTTATGATTATTTTTAACTTCTCCATAAACATATTGAACAAAAAAAAGAAAGGATAATTTTAAAAAGTAAAACAAAAAAAGAAAAATTAATTTAAATATACTTAAAAACTACACTTGGTTGAGAAATATATATTTTTTTTTAAATTTTAATAGGATAAAAACAGGAAATTTAAATAGTAATTCTTATTAACACTTGTTTAAAAAATATATTTCTCAACCAAATGTAGTTTTTAGGTAATTTAGATAATTCTTTCTTTTTTGTTCAAAATGTTTATAGAACAGTAAAAAAATAAATATATGTATATGTGTGTGTATGTGTGTGTGTATATATTTGACATTACATAGCTAATATTTTCATTTTGAATGATAAATTATTGTTTTTGTCTACTTTTTAGTCAGTTTCATTTTTTTGGCTTTTACAGCTGTTTGTTATACAAAAAATCTTTTAATAATATTTTTCAGTTAAACAAAGTTTTAGAAAAATGGATGCTCTCTATGAGATTGTTGATAAAATCTTATTATTACCATTGGGTAGTGTGGTAGAATTGAATTTCAAACTAGTCTGGTTATTTTTGGGCTTTCTTATTTTGTATTTGTTATTCTGGAAAAAGACTGGCTTTATAATTACAGACACCAAAAGACCTCAGCTAACAAATCAATTAAATCCTGATGATAAACTATATGTTCCTAAAGAAATGGTGATTTTTTTTTCTAATTTTTTAATATTATTTTCTTTATTTTTTAAGTAATTTAGATGTTACACAAAAATGCAAAAAGACAGCCAAAATGAGTATATAGCTAAGCAGAAATATATATATAATATATATATCTATCTATATATATATATATATATATATATATATATATATATATATATATATATATATATATATATATATATATATATATATATATATATATATATATATATATATATATATATATATATATATATATATATATATCAAACGGCCAAGAAATGGAGCGAATGTGAAAAAATATAATCCAAAAGTTTAAAGATGTTGGATTTCAAATAGATATAAAAGCAAATCTTAAATCAGTTAACTTCCTTGATGTCACTTTTAATTTAGCCCAAAACACAACCTTTCAAAAAACCCAACAATAACCTTCAATACATCCAAACAACTTCTAATCACCCACCACAAATTATCAAACACCTACCTACTTCAATATCTAACAGGCTTTCACAAAATTTCTCCAACCAAGTTATATTTAATCAATCTAAAAATGAATATGAACAAGCACTAAAAAATATCGGATATAAAAACTACTCCCTTAAATATCAAACAAAAAACACCCCAAATCGTAAACGCAATATCATATGATTCAACCCCCCATTCAATAAAAATGTCTCAACAAATAATGCAAAAATGTTCTTGTATTTACTTGAAAAAACTTCTCTAAGACAAACACAAACTTCAACAAAATCTTAAACAGAAACACTGTAAAGGTAAGCTACAGTTGCACTGAAAATATAGAAAAAATTATAAAAAACCACAACAACAAAAATTATCTTCCCAAGAATTGAAAATAATGACCTAAAATGCAATTGTCGAAACAAAGCAGAATGCCCCCTGAATGGTAAGTGCAAATCCACAAATATTATATATAAATGCATCATCACAGCAAAAAACCAACCCAACAAAGTTTATATTGGATTAACGGAAGGTGAGAGAAAAACCAGATATAACAACCACAAATCATCATTCAGCAATATTAAATACAAAAAGTCTACTGCCCTATCAAACTACATCTGGGATTTAAAAAATAATTTTAATGAAACCCTTATGCTAACATGGTCTATTCTCAATTTCCCTACTCAAATATTTCCAAAAGGTGCCCGCTATGTCTGTATGAGAAATATGCTGTTATATTGTATCAAAAACCTGAGGAATTACTAAATAAAAGGACCGAAATTGTATCAAAGTGCTGCCATAAAAATAAATTCTTATTAAAAAAATACAAAGCTCACTACAAACCTAAATAACAACTAAAAAGAACTATATTAATCTACTCCATATATCTCTAAGCTAACTAATAAGTTACTCACATACACATGGTAAAATATTTTATAATATTATATATATTTTTATATCAATTTTAGTTTTAATTTTTTAGTACATAAATAATGCACATTATCACATAAACAATTATTTTAAACAACATTAAACATAACTATTTCACAACTATTAGCAAACTAAAAACAAACTAATAATATTTATAACCTAACTACTAATCAATTTCTGTCCCGTTATGATCCATAATACAAATATAAACCGTAACGTCCACTAAACAAATCGCAGCAAAATTAAATTTTTACTACTTGCCTGATGATTGTGGTAACACATGAAACTCAGAGTTGCAATATTAAACTATATTATAAACATTAGCATTTAGCTAATTCCTGGTACTGCGGGTAACAGTAACATATACAATTTATAGCTCTAGTCTAAACCTATTGAGCACTCTTTTAAGTATACAATTTTATACATGATAATATAAAGATCTTTTATATTTATATACTTATATATATATATATATATATATATATATATATATATATATATATATATATATATATATATATATATATATATATATATATATGTATATATATATATATATATATATATATATGTATATATATATATATATATATATATATATATAGTTAACACATAAATGGAATTTTACACATTTTCAGAATAAGTTGATATTGTAAAAAGAATTCTTTAGAATCGTTTATTTCTGTTTTTCAATATATTTTTTTTTATTAGGGATTTTTTACTACTATTTTATTAGCTTACTTATTTTTATAGGTATTATATTTTTATAGATGTATATATATACTATCAGGTATATTATATATATATATATATATATATATATATATATATATATATATATATATATATATATATATATATATATATATATATATATATATATATATATATATGTATGTGTAAATGATGAGTGTATTATAAATTTACAGTATTAGCAATTTTGATTTTATGAACTGCTTTTAATTATTTAAGGAAATAGTTTACGCATAAAAGTGTACTTTATTATTTTGTAATTTATTTGATAAGATTTTTAAATTTGTAAAGAAAACTTATAAAACTCTTTAATGCTATTTTATTATTTGATTATTTTTTTTTGTTTTTAGTTACATGTTGTTTTTAAGTTACTTAAAAGTTTTATTTATTATTTCTAAAATAAAAAATATAGTATAATATGGTTCCTCTGATAAAAACTCTATTCCTCAGAAAATAACTTATATAAAATATTGAATAATTAGAAGACCTTGTTTGAAAATATGAAAAAAACTTCTCTACATTGTTTTGTCGTCTTTATGCAAAAAATGTGACATAATCCACATATTCACATTACTCATTCTGAACTCCCCTAATATTTATTTTTCACAAAAATAATCTTTGACAGGTAAAAACAATCCCAAATATCTATTGTTATTTTACTTATTTTTAAGAATGCTCCTGCAATGCCAGGATGGGCTGCAAACATATACAGGAAACTTTTAAGAACAGTATGTATTTTTTTTTTAAATAAATTTAAGGAAATTTCAATTGTCATAAAACTTATAATTTTTTTAATGCAATATTACATAACATCTTTGATGAATTTTGTTGTCTTAAAAAATGGTAAAGATTGATTACTTTTTAAATGTTTTTTGACCATATTTTTATTATGCTGTTATTTTAATGATGTTTTTAGTTAAAAAATTTGTATTTACAAACTAAATTGTTAATTCATATTAAGGTAATTGGAAGACGCTATCTGATTGAAATAGCCAAGCAGTGAGTCATTTTTCTTTCATTAGATTAGATTTAATGTTTTAACAAGTTTTAATAAATCTCAGATTGATTCTGTGAAAATGTTACCATAGTAATTTAAACTGTTATTTGAAACTACTTTAAATTTTCATTTTTAGGTTTTAATAATAAAATAATTAACTATAATTGGTTATGTTATTTTTTAACTGCCAGTCGAAGTCGCATGAATATCTTCAGTAGTATGTGTCTACCAGATAATCCAACTTTTTTTCCAATTATTCTTCCTACTGAAGATACATCAAGAGATGGACCTGTTGACTGTTGGAAACTTTTAAAACCATGGTAAAAATAAAATGATCTCTCTTTTTTTAAAAATATCTTAGTTAAAAAGAATTAAAGGTCAAAGTTGTATTACTAATTTTATAGACATAATATTTCATATATTATATTACTGACTAGTTATATAGGCATTATATATATATTCATATATAAAGTAGCACAACATTCAATTTGTTTACCTTTCTATAGCCAATTAATCGTAATAGCTTAAAGTCAAATCAGCCCATAACGCAGGTTTAATAACAACGCAGGTTTAAAAACAATTTTGCACAATTTAACTTTTTTTTGAGCAGTAAGACTCACAAGTAATATAATATATAATAATAAAGTTTATTGTAATATAGTTATAAAAAAAAAAAGTTGATTTTTTAGTTTGTGTTTTTGTTGTCTTTTTTAAATGTTATATTTGGTTTTAGAAGTCATAATTTATCATGGGTTGTTGGATAAAAAAAAATTATTATGTTATGTTAAATTTTTTTCTAGCACATCATATGGGTTTGCATTCAACACAATATCAAATTATATTGAAGCATATAGGTATTTATTTAGTTTTTTATGAGTTACTCAGTCCTGATCTGTAGGCAGGTTAATGTCAGGAAGGGTTTCTGGTTTTAAAATTTTGCTTTTTTCTTCCATAAAGTCCTATTTAAATAAGAAAATGGCATTATGAAAGCTTGTCTAAAATTACACAAGTACTGAACTAAAACTAGTATATGACAGTACTCTCATAGTATTGTCATATACTTCTAGTATGACATATGGCTATTTGTAAAAAATATTTTTTCATATTATTTTTTGTTTGCTTTAGGAATGGAACAAGAACACCAACTGATGTGGCTTATAAAATTATTGATGCAATTGTGGATTCAGAGAGCAAAACACCAAAAATGAGAATTATTATAGAGCATCATACATCAAATATTCTTTCTGTAATTTTTTATAAACTTGCAATTTATTAATTGTAAATTTATGCATGTTCAATTTATTTGCTTATATAATATTTATGTTAAAGCAAGCTGCAGATTCAACTCAGCGTTGGAAAAATAACTTACCTCTGTCTGTATTTGATGGAATTCCTGTTGCAGTTAAGGATGACTTGCATTTAGTATGTTTGAAATTAGTTCATAAAATTTTGATACAATATCTTTTTCAGTTCATCAATATTATTTTATTTATTAAAATTGTTAGGCTGGTTACCCAAGTCGTAGTGGTACGCCACTTGAAGAATTTAGTAAAGTAAAGTCTTTGCAAGATGAAGGATGGATGGTGAAAAAACTTAGAGAAGGTGGTGCTATATTTATTGGTATGGCAAATATGCACCAACTAGGGATTGGTGTTACTGGAATTAACCCAAGCATGTATGTGTTTCTAGACTTCACAATTTTTTTTTCTTTTTTAAATCTTTTTTTATAAAAGATCTATTATTAATAAGATTTTCTATTATAATTATATGTGTATTCTATGTATTATTTTATGTATAGATGTATGCACACATGCTTCTAACCACTTTTTAGTTTTGTGGTTTGACCCCGGATATTGCCAATCATTGTTAGATTTGTTACAATGAGTAGATTTAGGATTGATATGTCACTGAAATCACAAAGTTCCTTTTACCAAAATATTTACATTTTTAGGTGGCCATTGGGGTCAATATAGGAATTTTTTTTCCAAATGTAATTTAGGGCAAACATTATATCAAAATTATTTTCTACCTTTGTTCAAAAAATAAAAAAGAAAAAAAAAAAAAAAATGAATAAATAAAAATAAACCTTTGTTTAAAAGATAAAATCTAAATCCACTCGGCATATATACACATGTGATAAATGTAGAAACAATATACGTCAAAAAAATTACTTGCCAGATTTAATGATAGGCTGATCTAAAAATGTTGTTACAGCTCTAACCAGAAATTCTGCAATTTGTCACTGCAAAATTTGCAAGCTAACAAGTTTACGTGGAAGAACTCGAACAAGAAGAAGTAGTAAGTTTTCCTAGTCGCGTTTACCCCATTGCCTTTCAAACACTGGAAAAGCTAAGAAACACAAGTGAGGAAATTAAATGTTAGCTGTAAAAATACTAGAAAAACTTTAAAGCTCAGTTAAAGTTAAAAAATGGATTGCTCCTCAAGTTATTTTAGCAAAAGTATATGATCAAGGATCAAAAAGAATAAAATTTGTTACAGGTGCAAAACCTTTTAAATCAACTTTTAAAAATCAACCTAGACACATTGATTGATAAATAAAGGTTCAATCAAGACTTATCTAACAAGAGGCTGATACAGTTAGCTGAAGAACTCAGTTAAAAACAATTTTTTGAAGATTACTATCTATTACTTTTTTTAAGTAATGTAGCTAAATTTAGTTTCAGGCAAATTTTATTTTAAATAGAGCATCAATTAAAGGAAAAACTTCCATACAAACAAACCTGAAAAATGTATTTTCAATAATTGACGGTGCACTTGAAGATTTTTTTAATGATAGATTTTCAAGAATTTGACATTAAGAAAGGAAATTTGCAAGTAAAGGAAAATTTTCCTATCATTATGTATGCAGATATGTTTCAGTGCGCTTGATTAAGCTAAAAAATTAAAATAATAGGTACAACATTTTGTAAAAATAATATTTTTTATATTTTTGATCTGTTTGAACTAACTCTCAAATTGTGAGATCAAAGATTTAGAAATTGAGAAAAATATTTATTGAGATAAAACAACAAAACTTATGAAAGTCACTACAATTGCACAATGTTTTCCATAGTGATTGAGGGTAATCTAAATAAAAAAATTAAATATTTTTGATTTAAGTCTAACTTAATGCTGACCTGAAACACTAATTTTTTGCCAATATTTTTTTAAATTCTCTTTGAGTTTTGATTATGATGAATGTTTACATGGTTAGCTATAATGTTTCTAAAGAAGAATCTTAATTAACTTAAAACACTTATTTGTAGCTGATCTTAAACATTGTCAAATAATGTGTGGCTTATCTCCAAGCGCTATGGCTTCACAACCTTGACATATATGCAAATGGAAACGAATAGAGCGGCAATACAAAAAGTTATCTGAATCAGGTTCAATCAAACGTGATGCTAAAGGTTTTTGCAATGTTATTAATCCTCCATAGATATATACAGAAACCAGTGACCAGTTAATAGTAGATTATCTTTTTCCACCAGAGTTACACTTAATAGAGGGAGCTGTTATTCATATTTATAATCATATAGAAAAGTGGTGGTGAAAATGAGTTGCTAAAATTTCATTAACTCTAAACATTTCAAAAGAGGTTCAGAACAATACTTTTAATGAGAATGCCTCCAGTAAAATCCTAAATAATTACAATAAGTAAATGCGTGCATTGCCAATTAACTTGAAACCATTGGTAGAGGGGCTAAGAGTTTTAAACAACTTGGTCAAGTCTTGTTTTGGACTAGCACTACATCATGACTTTCAAAACATTAAAAACTTTGAGGATCACTAGAGAACACTTGTTGAAAAATATGGAATATCTATTTTATTAAAAATTCATGTTATTTTAAAACATATAGGTACTTTTTGTGCAGTAAGAGGTTGTGGATTAAGCTACTACTCTGAGCAGTAGAAGAAATTCAGCTTTTTTAATAAAATTTTTGAAACTTTGAACATATTCAAAGTTTCAAAAATAACAGTTCCTTTGCTGAACATTTGACAAAATCTGTAAACAGTTTTAACAGAAAAAACCTAGTAAATATTGCAAATGCTCTTGAGAAAATATATAAACTTTATCTTTACTTAATTATAACTTTGTTATTGTTGCAAAGTATTCATTAATAAACAGTATCTCAATTATGTTATACATTATTTAATATTCATGACATGGGTTTGTTTTATAAATGAAGTATTCATAACAGTCATATCTAAATGATGTATCCAATATTATGAAAGTTTCATTTTGGGTATAAGCTTTTACAATTTTCTTTTATAAATTTGTGTAAAAAATAAAAATAATAATAAAAAACTTATTTCCGTGCATTTTGGGCAAAAAATCCTCAACCTAAAATATATAATTTTTAAAAGCCCTTATGGACCCCGAAATACATACATATTTAGGTAAAAGGAATTTTGTAATTTCATTGACATATCAATCCTAAATTTACTCGTCTTAATGAATCCAAAGATGTATGACAATGTCTGGGGTCAAATCGCAAAACTAAAAAGTGATTACGGTGTGTATGTATAATAGTTATATGTGTAATTTACTGTCTAGACAGGATAATGTGAATTAATGAGAATAATACAACTCTAAAGAAAATAAAGAAAGTTGGGTTGAGGAGACAGAAGATAATAGTTATAAGACGAATGTTTAACAGCGAATTTGTAAGAAATGACAATAAAACTTCAAACCAATATTTTTTTTTTAATTTTTTTTTCTAAAAAAAATTGTTTAAAATATCTTTAAATATTTGCTCTAAATAAAAAAATAAACAGTTAATAACTAATTAACTGTTAGTAACTAACAGTTAATGTATATTTAGTTAATAAAGAACAAAAAATTCATCAAGAAAACAAGTTACTCTAGTTGTACATTTTATTAATGTGAACTGCTATTTAGTTTCTGTAGGTTTAAATATGTGCCTGTAGATTTGCAATATAAAATATGTCCTGCAATAGTGTCTGTATGATTGCAATATAAAGTTAAAGAAAGTGAATCAGATAAAAATCACATAAAAAAGCCATTATTTTTATAGAGATAAAAAGTGATTGATTATTTATATTATTAAAAAGTGATTGATTATTTATATTATTAAAAAGTGATTGATTATTTATATTATATATAGTGATTGATTATTATATATTATATTAGAAAAAGTGTTAGCTTAGTAGTTATACTCTTATAATGAGCAGGTGTTCAGGGTTATAGCAAGTGATTAAAAAAAAGAAAAATGGAACAGTACGTTGGTCTTTTAAGTTTTTTATTAAATGCTTGCTTTATATTTATTTTAGAATCAAGCCAAAATCACAACAAAATTACATAAAAACTTTTTTTTATTATAGTTTGTAGCTCTAGCAAAAGTCAAGGCAATATTTTGTTCTCAAGGTTCCCAACTAGAGAAAGTAGGTCTTGTCACTAATGGAAGATATTTAGTCGTATAGCCCTAAATATCTTCCACTAGTGACTAGAGTTTATTATTGTTCAAATTAGAGCAGATACCTAGCCACCATTTGGAATACATAAGGACGTTGACTAGACATAAATTCAAAAAAGATTGTATTAGAATAAGTGTTAAGTGAGTAATTATAAAGATGTTTGGACAAAAGTCCAGTTTAAAAGCAGCTAAGTGAGAGGCACAAGTGGTCATAACTGAATTACATTTGATTATACCCAAAGGGAGTACTGATTTTGAACTGTAAGGGCTTTAGTTCATTCAATGACTGACTTTTGGTAGTGGTGCAGTGGTAGAGCAGTTGTTTTATAAGTAAGTGGTTTGGAGTTCGATCCCCACAACGTCCCTGTTACATGCTCTTGATTTGTTTCTCCGCGCAGCTGCCTTGTTTTTCAAGCTTTGTGTTTTGGAGTTATAGAGTTAAGAGAGGGTTATAACCACAAATAATTAGTCTTTTTATTAGTAGTGGCTTTCTTGGCCTGGAGGAGATAAATTTACATTATAAAAAAAATTTACGGAAAGCACCCAAGGGAGCAGCTACATCTTTGACTGAAAGTTTGGGTTAGGGCAACGATAGTATTTTTTACTATTCCTTGTTTTTCTTTGTTTGTTTTGTTCTTTGTTATGTATTTGGACATTTTATACTTGGTTTTATTTAATTATAATTTATACCATTTTAATGGAGTTATTTGTTTTATAATTAGTTTATATTTAAGTATAATATATACTTTTTTTAGGGAATTATTCGTTTTATACTTAGTTTAATTATAATTTATGTTGTTTAGTGGTAGTGTTTGATTTATACCATTTTAGAAGAATTATTTATTTTATGGTTAGTTTCTATTTGACTATACTTTGCAATTTTAGTGAGTTATTCATTTTTTACTTAGTTTAATTTGATTATAATTCATATATTTTAGTAGAAATAATTGTTTTATAGTTTATACTCAATTATAAATTATGCAGTTTTAATAGAAAAATTTGTTTTATACTTTTTTTATGTTTAGGAATAAAAAAATTTACTCTCTTGCCTGCATAAACTCAGTTTATATTAGAGTTGTTATATTTAATTTTAATTTATACTGTTTTAGTAGAAATGTTCGTTTTATACATCGTTTATGTTTTACTCGAAATATTCATTTTAGTGAAAATATTCTTTTTAGTTTTTGTGAAAATATTCTTTTTAGTTTTTGTGAAAATATTCTTTTTAGTTTTTGTGAAAATATTCTTTTTAGTTTTTGTGAAAATATTCTTTTTAGTTTTTGTGAAAATATTCTTTTTAATTTTTGTAAAAATATTTTTTTTAGTTTTTGTGAAAATATTCTTTTTAGTTTTTGTGAAAATATTCTTTTTAGTTTTTGTGAAAATATTCTTTTTAGTTTTTGTGAAAATATTCTGTTTAGTTTTTGTGAAAATATTCTTTTTAGTTTTTGTGAAAATATTCTTTTTAGTTTTTGTGAAAATATTCTTTTTAGTTTTGCTGAAAATATTCTTTTTAGTTTTTGTGAAAATATTTTTAGTTTTAGTTTAGAATCAGTTATATAAAAGATTTTATTTAATTGTGTTACTATAAAAATATAACTATTAAACTAATAATTTTTCTAATATAATCACTTCTTTTATTTCAAGCATTTTTTTTTTTTTTTTTTTTTATTTTAATTCACCTCCTCAAGGCCAAGAAGGCCACTACAGACGAGGAGGCTACTGAATTATGGTTATAACCCTCTCTCAACTCTATAACTCCGAAACACGAACCTTGACGAGCAAGGCCGCTGCGCGGAGAAACGAGTTGAGCGCGGTACTACCAAGGACGTGGTGGTGATTTATGGCTAATTATGTTCTACTAGTGACTAGGCTTACTTGGTCTAGTTGCAAACTTTATATAGAACTAAAGTTAAACAATATTTTGCTTTTATTATTAATTTTTTACAATTTTAGATATCATGGCACTTGTCGTAACCCATACAATGTTGATTATCCCACTGGTGGAAGCTCTAGTGGTTCCGCTGCAGCTGTAGCTGCTGGTAAGCTATGCATTATATTGTGCACATCAGTCTGATATTTTTTTTGTTGCAATCTTAATGCTTGCATTACCAGAATTTTTTTTTTCCCCTACTTTTTTGAAAGTTCAAAAAATAAATCAAAAAGTACTGTTACAAAGGTATAAATAAAATTAAAAGTTTTTCTGTTACTAATTTATTTTTCACTTTGTTTAATTCCCTAATCAATGATTAATTTTATTATGCAGAAATGTAGTAAAATTGAAAAAAATAATTTTGTTCGGGCTAAATAAATAATTTAATAATTCTAGTTTATTACTTACATAAACCAAGCGCAAGTATTAATAGTATATACATAAAATATCAATAAATTATATTCAAGTGTATATAAATTATTTTCATAAGACATAAACAATTATGATAGACAGTGGTAGCATGCTAGCATACAATACAAATTACTAAAGTGAACAAGGTTAACCATCTTGAAAGTCCAAAACTTAATATAACTTAATATAACTTAAATATAAATAACAAAACTTACTTAAAATATAACTTAATATAATATTTTTTATTTAAGAAATCACTACTATTTTTTCTAATGTTAATAATTTTCTTTTGAATCTACATAATAAACTTTTCCCTGCTTTTGTAAGCATAAATGCTTCTAGCTTTTCTTTACTCAATGAATTTTTTAATCGTGTTATTTCACATGCTACCTAGTAAATTATAATAAGTATTTAAAATACCATATAATTAAGCACTAAAATATGAATTATAAAACTTGAAATGTATGTCACTACCTGTGTATATGGAAGTGTAAGCAGATACTTAGTGAAGTGTAAGCCAGAAACAAAAAATAAAATTCATTACTGTTTAAATTATACTTCAAAAATACATTATAACAACAGTGAGGACAACTCATGCAAGTCTTGCAGTGTATTTCTTCAATATTTGTGCCATGTTTACCATTTATTTTTTCTTCAATACCATCTTCACTACTTTTTTTACAATACTCACGTACAGTCCTATTAGTTACAGGATGATAAAAATTTTAACAATTCATCTAACAACTTTGCATGAGTCAATTTGTCATCAACTTTTTTCAGGACAAGTCAAGTTGTGTATCAAATGGTAATTCTTCATGTAATTCATCATGTAAATCTTTAAAGTTATTTGGTGACAAATTTTTATTGGAGGAGATCCTTTCTTCCATGCAAGAAGTTGACTTTTTTGTTTTTATGAGCTGGGTAACTCAGTCTTCTCTTAACAATTAGTTTTATTATATCTAAGACGCGCTGAATTATTTGTATGCTTTTCTTAACTTCTTCTAATTTTTCTTTTTAAAATCAGAAAATAACAATATGTCAATAGTTTTGTTACTTGTGCGTAAAAGATATGATTCAGAACACTTGTGTTTTGCTTCATGTTCTTCTATACGTTGATATAGGTGGATCCAAACTTATGCCTTTAGTGAATAGGTTCTGAAAAAAAAGCTAAGCATACACAAAAAAAAATTAACTTTTTGATTGATTATCAAAATATAACCACTTGTGTTTAATACTACTGATGCTAAAATATAACCACTTGTGTTTAATACTACTAATTCTAAAATATAACCACTTGTGTTTAATACTACTGATGCTAAAATATAACCACTTGTGTTTAATACTACTGATGCTAAAATATAACCACTTGTGTTTAATACTACTAATGCTAAAATATAACCGCTTGTGTTTAATACTACTGATGCTAAAATATAACCGCTTGTGTTTATTACTACTGATGCTAAAATATAACCACTTGTGTTTAATACTACTGATGTTAAAATATAACCACTTGTGTTTAATACTACTGATGCTAAAATAAGTTTTAAATGATTTAAAGAGTTTTTCAGCATCAGGATGTTTTGGATGAAAAAAATCATTGATACTAGATGGCATAGGTTTTTAAAAATAATTTTCAACCATAGTATCTTTATCATTATCAACATCTTCATCCATAACAATATCTTTGTTCTCATCAACATCAACATTAACCAAAGCAAAAATTTTCTAACATTCTCCTACACATAAATGCACATTTAGCAATTATTAGGTTACAGTATAGATATAAAAGAAATATTTTCAATAAAGCACTATGGTTTATTATTATACTTTAGAATTATACTTTAATTTTATTTTTTCTAGTGTATTTAATATATAATCAACATCTTTGCAATTGACGACTTTTTAACTAAGAAAATATCAGAGTTTGAACATAAGATTGATAACTCTAAATTCATTTATATGTCAAGAGTTACTGATATTCTGATTAATGTCAAGAGTTACTGATATTCTGATAAAATTTTAATTTTTCGATAAAATTTTATATTAGTTAAATTTTAATCCTACTGCGTCAACAGTATTTAAAATAGTATATTTTCTAGTGCAATCATTGACAGCAATAGATGTTATAGTATTACAAGTAGTATATTGATCACTCTAAAACAATTAAAAAATTTTTTATCACTCTAAAACAATTGAAATAGTTCAGTAATCAGTATTCTTATTTATTAGTTAACACAGATTAATAAGTTAATACAGATGCAATGATTTATCATTTCTTATTAACGAAAAAATAAAACATAGTATTAAAAATTATTATACTAAATTATTCTTTAACTATAGGTACTCACTTTTGAAATTACTGGGATTGAAAAAAATTTCAAGATTGGTTTGCATTTTTTTGTTTATAAAAATAAATTGTTTATATTTTTTCATTAAATTTTTGGGCTCCATCTTAACGTTTATTTTCCAACATTGCTTTCTCAGAAAAAGAAAAACTTAAAAAAATATTTACACCAATTACAAAATTACTATTTTTTGTACATTAATAATGTAGATTTTAGTCAATGCCAAATGCTGTTATAAAAAAATAACGTTATCATTTATCAATTAACATAAATAAATATATAGGAAATATATATAACAACCACATGCTACAAAGTTGAATTTACAACTTTGTTTGTGCACTTGATATTGGAATTTGGCTGTTCAATATTTCAGTATAATTGAGTTACTGAAATAATACAGGGTATACCAAAAAGTTGATTAGAGTTGTTTTTATTCAAAGGTAATAATGCACATGTTAAAAAACATATGGTGCACAAAACATTGTAAAGTTAATAAAAATATTTTTATCAGAAAAGAATATTTTGTAAAAATAAAAAAGAACAACTTTAAGGGGTGATTGAATAAGTGCGAATAGCTTAAGTGTGAACTGGCATAAGTGTGAAGCAGTTGCAGGGTTTTTCTTTTTAGGCTTCTCTGCAGATGCTCTAAGTTGTCATTTCTTAAAAAACAATTTTTTTGTGAAAAAGTAATAATTTAGAACTTTTATTTTATTTCTTGCCATGTCTGTGAACTTCCATATATTATATGTCAATTGGAAGAATATTAAACATGCTTTCAGAGTTTAATGTAAAATATTTTATAAAATTACATTTCAGTTCAAAAAAATGCAGAGAAAGATAACTCTTTAAACTAGGAAATAATAGCATACTTAAATGTGACTTTTATTAAATTCTGTATGTTTCTGTAAAAATCTGAATACATATGGATAAACTTCGACCCTTCTTCTTTTAATCCAATAAAGGTTTTGATGCCGCCTGTACTTTACCAAGAACAACTATTTTCAATTTAAAAATGTTTCTACTTAATTTTTTTACATAGAATTTGACAGCCATTTTCAATTAAATTCTATAATATTGTCATAAAAAATATATTTGTTGTAACTAAAAGACTTACTAATAATATACCATCAAAATACTTTCTTTAACTAATATAACCTCAAAATCCACAAGTTGAAAGAATTTACAAAAAATGTTTTTGTTGATTTAAAATTGTGTAAATAAATAATAAAGTACAAACCGTCTTAAATAAAATTTAAAGAATAAAGAATTTATTTCTTTTATAACTGAAGATGTTATTAAAATGTCAGAATATTGAAAGTTTTGTTAGAAAAAGAATGTTACAAAAAGTAAACGTGCTCAAGAAAAAGAATTTAAAAAAAAAAGGTAACATACATTGCCTTTTAAAGACAAAGAAAAATGAGCTAAAAAAATAGTAATTTCAAATCTCTCTGAAAATGCTGAATATGATACAAAGTATATACTTGAAACAGCAAGATACACAGTAGGGCGGGTCAAATTTTTTTTTTAAGAAGCAGCATATTGTGGGGGGTTCCTATATATGTGTATAGGATGTATACCAATTTTGAGGTCTGTGCTAGCCTCCGTAGGGGTCGCAAACAAAATCGGATTTTTTGGCATTTTAGAGAAAAAGGAGATATAAGCAACTTTTATATATATTTATTTTATAATTGTTTTATTTTATTTTATTAATAAGTTATCAAATATATCAAAGATGCTTGGTAAATTTATTCAATTGTTATTTTACAAAACTTTTTTTTTACTCATTTGCAAAGCACGCCCAAATTAATGATAAACGCACAATAAAAAAAACTTTTAAAAGTGTTTTTAATATGCAAACAAACATTATTTCGCTTTATGGAAAACAAAGAAAATTAAAAAAAAAATCATGCACAATTTTGAAATCATTACAAAATTTTGAAATCATTTGCTTGAAACTTTTAATGTAATTGCTAAGAACAGAAAAGATACCAGCTTAAACATTATGATCGCTTTCTTCGATAAAAAAAGCAATTGAATTGTTTAAGAATGGTTTCTTTTGAAGTTTTTGCAAAAGCATTTATTTTAAATAAAATTATGCATACTTTTTAAGTAAAATTATGTTTTAGCATGGTTTTTGCATGAGCGCATGCAAAAACCATGCTAAAATATAATTACTTTTTTCTATAGCGTACTTAGTTATTTTACTTAAAAGTGACGCTATTGAAAAAAGTAATTATGTTTTGGCATTTTTTAAAAATGTCTCTGTAATTAATTGTTTTTCATTTTAAATATGTGTTTTTTTGTAATAAATAAAAAACTATTGATCACAATTATTTTGAAAAAATTGCTGAAGTAATGCGTTCGTTTTGAAAAATCTTAATCAAATGGCAATGTTTGCATAAGCAAAATTAAAGAAACATGATGTTTTTTTTTTGTCTGTCTTAAAGAAATGCGTGCACATTTGTTGATTTGTTGCACCCTGTATCCTATTAACTTTTTAATAAAATTTTAAATTTGCACCACAAAATTTTATTAAATTTCACGATCCTTTCCTTCACCTTGGATCAGCCCTTGTATTAGCATATTTATTCATGGGAAGGAATGATAAAGATTATTACTTTTGTTTACAATTAAGTTTAAATTAATTCATAAATAATTTTATTTTATTTCTGGTTTTCCTTTGTTTATTTTATCATTCTTTAAATATTTTACTTTTGGTTAATTTAGGTTAATTTTTGTCATATATATTATTTTAAGGATTTTATTTTTTATTCAGTTTATAGATTATTAATTTTAATTTGCTTTGTTTTTCATAGCGCAATTTTTAAATGCGCTAATTATCAAAACTTGCACATTTGTCATCTGTATAACGTTTATAAAAAATTGGTATGGAGGATAAGCAATGATAAGCTCATGCTTACTGGTGAAATCTGATGAATACATTCGCTAAAATTGGGGCAAAAGGTTAACCTATTGCAACACAATTCAATTGGTCATATTATTTTATTTTATTTTGACAGACTTGTTTTATAGGTCATTTATAAAACTTGTTTTACATGAACAATTGTCTGACTTATTTTACAAGACCATTTGTCAGACTTGTTTTATAGGTCATTTTTAAGACTGGTTTTACATGAACAATTGTCTGACTCATTTTACAGGACCATTTGTCAGACTTGTCTGACAAGGTTCTATTATTTTGGTTTTATATAAACAATTTTTTTACATACACACTTGCACAGTTAAAAATAAACAGAGGATCTTTACTTTACTGTTATAAATTGCCTAATTCTTTTTAGGTTTATGTCCGATAGCCTTAGGAGCAGATGGTGGTGGTTCTATTAGAATGCCTGCAGGTATAAATGGAGTGGTTGGAATAAAAGGTAAAAAAACTAAAAATTATCCTTAACAAAAAGCAAAATTAAATTAATTAAATTTATCAATTTTTTATTATCATGTACTACTGTGATCAAAAAATAAGGTGAATTTTTTTATAAAATGAAAAATCTTTATTTATTCTTCCAAATCTGTATCGTCCCCCTCAAAATAATCCCCCCCCGGCCCCAATGCACTTTTGCCAACGTTTTTTCCAGTCTTCGAAGCATGCCGAAAAGTCCTCGGTAGGGATAGCCTTCAATGCGCGTGCCGATTCACGTTGGATCTCTTCAATGGACTCAAAACGATTTCCCCGGAGTGGTCTCTTGAGCTTTGGGAACAGCCAGAAGTCACACGGTGCTAAGTCGGGTGAATACGATGGTTGTGGAGCAACATGGGTAGAGTTTTTGGCAAAAAACTCACGAAGAACCAGTGCTGTGTGCGAAGGCGCATTATCGTGGTGCAAAATCCAAGAGTTATTGGCCCATAATTCCGGTCTCTTTTTGCGAATAGCTTCACGCAAACGTTGCATAACGCTTAAATAATATTCCTTGTTGGCAGTTTGGCCAGTTGGAAGGAATTCGTAGTGCACGGCACCACAATAATCAAAGAAAACAGTCAACATGACCTTGATTTTTGAGCGACTTTGACGTGGTTGCTTCGGTCTCGGCTCGCCTTTTTCACGGTATTCACTTGATTGGTCGGTTGTTTCAGGGTCGTATGCGTAGACCCAAGTCTCATCGCGAGTAATAATTTGTTTGTAGACGTCTTGATAGTCAGAAAGCATTGCTTCACACGCTTTAACGTGACGCTCTTTTTCAAAGAAATTGAGAAATTTCGGCACCAAACGTGATTTGAGTCTTCTGAGGCCCAAATGATCCTTCAAAATTGCTTGCACCAACCCAAATGATATTCCAACCATGTCAACAAGGTCTCGAATGGTTAACCGACGATTTGCAAGCACCAATTCTTTGATTTTGTTGATGTGGCGATCATCGATCGAAGTCGATGGTCGTCCAGAGCGTTCCAAGTCATCAACACGTTCTCGGCCTTCTTTGAAGTCTTTGTACCACTTGTAAACATTTTTTTGAGACATAGTCTCTTCACCGAAGGCCTTTTGCAACATTCGATACGTTTCAGCAGCAGAAATATCATTCCGCAAACAAAATTTAATAGCACTTCTTTGCTCAACAAAATTAGACATCGTGAAAGTCGCCGAATGCACTTTTGGTACTTCAGAAACAAGCGTAAACAAAAAAAATATAATTATGAGTTCGACATGTAATTTGGCGCAAATGTTAATGACATTCCTACCAAATTAAAAATAAAAAAGATTGGACGATTCGAATAAGGCGGGAAGTTTAAATTAAAAATTCGCCTTACTTTTTGATCACAGTAGTATTACTTCCTGTGTTTTCTATATTGTAATTGTTTGTTAATGTGTGTTTTTAAATTCTAATCTATATATAATCTATAAATCTATAAAAATAATAAATAATCTATAAAAAAAAAGAGTAAAATCTTTTTTTTTTTATGAAGTTTTCTCTATCGTTTGGTCTTCAGACTGTTTAATGACTAGTATACTCAGGTAAATTGACACATCTTTCTAGATCCACCAGCCCCAGTATATTTTTGCTCCACAGCGTTGACACAATCGACCCATGATTGTTTTTTTATACCACTTTCTAAAGCAATTTTGTTTGCTTGAATAGTAGATAAGATCAACATTTACTTTTGGGTTTACTACAATTATTGAATCTGGCTGATTAATTAAGACTGGCTTGCGTGGATAAGTTATTATCATTGGTTGGTAGATTCACATAGTTAACTTGTAACCGGTGGAAGTTATAAACAGATGGAACATAAAATGTAAACAGTTGTGAACAAGTTGAGCATCTTTTAATGATAAAAATATTTTCATTTTGCAATTTAGGTTTGTAAACATTATTTATGTCTAGTGTGAAAAAGCCCTTATTTTCAAAACCTGCAATAGTTTGAAGATGCATAAAGCATTTGCCGAATTTAAAGAGTTTTGATTTAAACTGAACTAAGGTATTTTTAGATAAATTGCTGCATAATGAGTTGATGTAATATTTGTCTAATATTTGGTGCTAAACTTTTTTAACATGTCAACAGACTCCATTATCTAAAGGTTAAAGAATGTGCAACATTAGCCGGTAGACATATAAGCTTGAAATTGTTGTCATTTCAACTGATGTTAATTCAGTAATAATACTTTAAATGGCAATTGTGTCAGTACCAATAGAATTTGCAGAGTTCTTTATCCTGAACAATAAAATAGCCTTCGGAATGTCTTACATAAATGATGCTTTACATAAAGATAAGTTTTTGCAATAACTGCATTGAGTTGCTTGCCTGTGTAGTTGTTTTTTTTCTTTGCTACTGTGTGAATTTTTCTTTATTGGCTGAGATTAATTGTTTGTTGTTTTTTTTTTAAGTTGCATGGGTGACTCATTTATATAAGGACTAAATAAAAAAACAAAAGTATGAAATAAATAAGTATAAAATAAAGCTTGTTCAATGAAACAGGAAAATTTGTTTTTATTTCAGTTTTTTTCTTCATAACAAGTGAATTCAATTCTGAAAAAAAGATCATTTAAAAATGACATTTTAAGTTTAGCGCTAAAAGTTTTTATTTTTAAAACTAGGTATTTACAGATAATTAAGAAAATTTAAAATAGTTTACTTATAGTAACTTTTTTTAGCTTATATTAAAAAAAAATGTATTTAAAATTTTCTTAATTATCTGGCTTAGTTTTCCAAAACTAACCCAGATAATTAAGAAAATTTCAAATAGTTTTATCATAGTAACTCCTTTTAACTTATATTTAAAAAATTTTAATTAAAAACCATAAAGTTTTATTCTGTATTGTAGAATGAAAAAATCTCTACAATTCTAAAAAAAAAAGTTTCAAAATGTTTGTGTCTTTAAAAGATAATTTATAAAAACAAAAAACTCAAATGTTGTTCAACTTTACATCCTGTTCAATTATAACTGCTTTCATTCTTAGAAATAAATTGCTTTCAGTGTCATTAGATGAGTATTCTTCTTCTCTATTAGCAACATTTTCTCGAATAAGCAAGGCTGGTTGTGGAAAAGTAAATTCCGCTGTTTCTCATCCAGGTAAAAAATTTATTTTGAAAAACTTTTATTTTTACTTTATTTTCTTGGTTTTTGTTTTAATGTTAATTTTTTTATTAATAGGTTTTGTGTGCTCTACTGTTCGGGACTCTGCCATCGCATATGGTATTTTTTTGATTATTTGATTTACTGTATTGATGTGTCAATCTGTAACCTGCTAAAAGAATAAATTGTTACTAATTACTAGAAATTCTGTTATAAACATTAGAAAGTGAATATTAAAACAAGTTTTTTTTACTTTAAGGTTTTCTTGCTGGCCATGACTGTCAGTATCCGATCGGTAAAAGTGTTAATGCATGGGTTAAGTATTGTCATTTAATGTTATATTTGTGTTATGTTGTCACCAACAGTTGAAATTTTTTTTTTTTAAGGAATGGTGCAACCTATGCCTAATCTTTTTGATTTTGAAGTTAAGAATTTGTCTGGCATTAAAATTGGAGTTGATTGGATATATTTTAATGTAGAAGTTGATTTTTTTTAGTTATGTTTGTCATTTGATAAATATATTATATAATATGTTTTTATTATGTTTTAATAATATATATATTATAATATATGTTTTACTTTTTTTATTTTATTCAATATATTATATGTGTTAATTCTAATTTAATATTTGAAACTGCAGTATTATAAAAGTTCTTTTTAGCTTATTTCAGATAGAAATATGTTTTATCATTTTAGCATTGCAATCCTGAAATTGCTATGCATTGTAAACAAGGTTAGTAATATAAAGTTCTTTAATTCTTCTTTAACTACAGCAGAGATCCCGCAATCATCTGCAGAGATAATATTTGAGATTATGGACTCAAAATATGTATGTATGCGTGTATATACATATATATATATATATATATATATATATATATATATATATATATATATATATATATATATCCAAAATTTCTTTTAAACACCAAGCATGAAAAAATATATGTGTGTGTGTATATATATATATATATATATATATATATATATATATATATATATATATATATACATATATATATATATATATATATATATATATATATATATATATATATATATATATATATATATATATATATATATATATATTTATATATATATATATATATATATAAATATATATATAGATTTTTGAAAATCAAAAGGCACTCTTTTCCATGTGCTGTGGGTGTACTCTGTGACCAATAAAAAACAAAATTTGACTTATTTGGATAATTTTTGACCCGGCTCAATGGACTCATAGATCGAATTTTTATTACAAAAATTCAAATTGCAACGGTTCAAACACCCTTAAAAAATAAAAAATAAAAAAATAATGCTTTTCATCTGATTTTTTAGAAGTTTACGATTATTTTAAGCCTATTCCCATCGTAATTCAATAAGATTTAGGCTGCCTACAAGCATTAAAAGAACTAAATTTTTGACCTGGTTTCTTAAAAAAACACCCGGTTTCTACAACATTTTAAAACTGCCGGCTTTTTTATTATAATGGGATAAATTGCAAATTTTTAGGGGGACTTTTTATTTGTAATTACTTTTTTTGGATAACAAAATTATTTACAAATAATAGCATTATATTAAATAAGATTGCAGTTGTTGGGAAGGTTAGGCAGAGGTGGAGGATTGCCACCCCCCTCCGATTTTTATACAATTTTTGTAACTTTTTGAACAAAAAAGTTCACTTGAATTGAATTGAATCACTGAATTAAGTGTTTGTTTGTGTATTATTTAAGTTAAAGTATGACATATTTATATAGCAGTATATAAAAAATATTTTTATTATTAATAACCTATTACATTATATTATTTAAAACAAAGTGGGAAAAGACATCAAATCAAAATATCAGTTTTTTTGATAAATGACTTTATTAAATTCTCTAGAAATATAGAGAACACCCTCTCAACTATCTTATAGAGATCTAGTTCTGCAATATTTAATTTGTATACAAATCAAAACTAAAAAATAAAATCGTTTTCAGACGTACACAGAGATAGAGTACACCCACAGCACATGGAAAACGGTGCCTTTTTATTTTTAAAAGTCAGGGGCGTTTAGCCTGCCCTAATAATTATGCACATATACGTATTTAGAAAGCATATTTTTTCCATATTTATTAGTAAAAATTACAATTTTTATTTATAGAAATGAAATTTTTTATAAATAAACCTGACATAAATATATGAAATAACAACTTTTTATATATATTAATTGATATTTAATAATCACATAACAATTGCATGTTAAAGAATTTCAGACAAATTCTTTTTGGAATTGACTGAAAACTTTTGTCTGTGGTTTGAAATTGAAATCATCAAAGATTGCTTTAACTCCTCATCCTGGCACATGTGTGTAAAGTCTAGGATGAGCTTTACTCCTCTCTCAGCACAATCATTTACTACTGTTAATTTTTCTACGAATGTTTCCAGAACTCGATATCCTGAGAAATTATTCCAATCTCTAAAATAAAATAGTTATACTTAAATATTTTAAAAATGCCAAAAAATAACATAAGAAATAATTTATGAGAAATATTGCTAACAATATATTGCTATGAAAAATAGAAATATTAAATAAAAATATTAATATAACATATTAAAAATATTAATATTAATATATTAATAATAAAAATAATAATATTAAATAAAAATATTAATATTAACGAAAAATAGAAATATTAAATAAAAATAGAAATATAAAATAAAAAACAAAATATTGCTATGAAAAATAGCTAACTTGCATCCATTCTGTTTCTATTACAGATAAATTTAGCTGCTGAATGAGAATCCAACTTTGAGGTCCAACCAGTTGCCATAACTCTGGAATTTTTTTTATGTCAATATTTGGAAAAAGTGGTTTTCCCAATGTTAAATTTGAAGGTCTAGGATATAAAAATAGCTTTTTGGCAATTTTTTCTCTAATGTTATTGTCAAGTGTTTGGTCGCAAAGAGCAAACACAACATTTCGTTCTGTAAGAAACCATAAGTGATTTTTAATACTTTTAATAGCAGCAGTTGACACAGTTTTGTTGATCCATACTTGGTCCCTGATTGCACACAAGTCTAAAGAAGGAGAAGAAACTGCCAATGGTGCTTTTCAGAAACCATCTTGCATGAAAAAGCTCAATAAACTCAGCAATTTGAGGGACTGTTGCTATTTCTTCTTTCCTAATTATATCAAATTGTTGCAAATGAAATGTAAGCAGTTCTATTGTCATGTAGTAGATAGCTTTTGAAAGAAATCTTGCGTGATGAAAAGCTATAGGTTTACGAAACTTAAAATTTCCAAGCTTATCACTGCCTAGCCAAACCAAAACAAGTTCTGCTAAATGCTTATAGTCACCACGAGGAAACTTTTCTGTAAACAAGGCGTATTCAAGATATATTTTGGTTTTTAGAGCCTTTGAAAAAATATAATGCAAATAAGTTTATTATGTTTTAAAAATTTTCAGAAAAAAGAAATATGCAATTCTCCTTACCTGTTCTTCTAAAAATGTTACCTTTCTCTTGCTCCATTCAAACCTGTTAAGATTGTTTAAATTTATTTCAGGCTTAATAGTTTCCCAGAAATTTTGAATTTTTTTGAAAAGATTATCAACTGGTCCATCAAACATATTTCCAGAAACTGCAAGTGCTACATGCTAGATAATGACAAATGAGATTAGGAAAAGGCTATATGAGTAAACCAAGAATAAAATTATTTAATAGTTCTATTTCTAACCTTAATATTAAGCTCATATATGTGATGTCTGCAGGCAAACCATAGTAATGGTCTGTCCTGCCATTTTTCTAGCAATACACAGGCACCCTGCATCCAGCCTTAATTTAATTCATTTATTCAATGTGAAATTTTTTAAATAAAAATTATGAAAATACAAAAATATCATAATACAAAATGTCATAAAATGTCTTTATTATTTTATTGAGTTTATTTTTCTCACCCGTATTTGAAGATGTAGTGTCAAAACATGCACTATGTACCGAATCCCGGAGATTCCAAGATTCCAGTATTTCCTTAATTGCTTTTGCTTGTGTTATTCCACGACTATCTGTGATAGAAAGAACTCCAATAAGTTGTTCTTTATCAATACTAGGACTTGAAATCACTAGTGCTAACCGCTCAACATTTATATTCGCACCATAAAAATACTCTTTTACTATTTTTGTGTCAAAATGAACGCAAAGTAGTTTCCCCTTAGCTTTTACAATAAAATCTTCTTTAACTTTTAAACCATATTCACTTATTACAGCACTTGAATGAACCTTTGCTGACGTAACAGAAATATCAAAGTCCTTTAGATTTCTGCCTGCTGAGTTGATGACATTAGCCAATGTAGCGGTATGCGCTGAACTCTGAATACCGTATCTCTTTGCTGTAACAGCAGTGGCCTTTAAGATTTTTCTAGGTAGCATAACTTCAACAAAATCTGGTTTTCTCTTATGAGATCTTGGTTTGCAGTCCTTTTGATATTCAAAATCTTGATTATCCTCTTTGTTCTGTGCTTCTACACTGCTATTTCTAACCTGATTTAAAGTTAAATTGGTTATAAATTCAGAAGCTAATCTGTTACTATTTGAAGTAGTCATTCTCTTATTGGTAAATTCAATCCCCTTTTGCTTTCTATGAGTAGTAAATAAGTACTTCTTGTCTATTCCACCCATGAAAGCTTTACGTTCTCCTCGTTGATCATTCAAAAAGTTTATATCAATATTTCTTTCCTTTTTAGTGACTTGCTTATTCAATAGAATTTTGCTGTGCATCATTCACACTAATATCAAATAAGCACTTTATTTCAAGTTTGTAAGCGTCTATTTTTCTTAAATTGTGTGGTGTGTCACGTAATTTGTTCTTTGATAGTTTCTACAATCTTCCAAGCACAATATCTTACTTCTATATATAGAAACAACGTTTTATTCTTACAGTAAGATTCTTTAAGTTTTAGTTTTAAAAATAAATAAATACTGTGTATACAATTATTATTTACCTAATATGTGGGTCAGCTACTATTGGGATTGCACTTCTTTTCCAGATTTTCTTCAGTGACGAAACAACACATGTGCTTTTAAGAAAATTCCACCCTCCAGGGTTATTGCAACCAATTTCAAAACTCCCATGTGGAAATTTGCAAGAAACCATATCACAAAGTCTATATTTTAAAATTTCTTTTCTTGCTTTGAATAGTTTGCCATGTAAATATTGCAGAACTTGCTCTCCAGTAGGCAATTGAGATGATGGTAGTATTTCAATAATATCATTTATCAAAAAAACTTTATATTTTGATCTTGTGTCTTTTCCCATAATTATCATAATTTATCCATAATTGCGATCTTAGTAAAATAAACAAACCGTTTAATAAAAAATGTTTTAAAAACCGGTTAATTTTTAAGGAAACCGGGTCAGACCTCAGAGTCCAAAATTCTTGAGCACAGTCTTAGTCTTATTCAATTATCATAAAGTTAGGCTTAAAATGATAGCCTACCCTAATATATATATATATATATATATATATATATATATATATATATATATATATATATATATATATATATATATATATATATATATATATATATATATATACAAATACATATACATTTAAAAAAATGTATAATGATAACACATTAAAACTAAAACCAGTACTTCTTATATTGCAATTAAAATATTAAAGTTTATTATTTTTTTTTTTAAATAACTTGTAAATATTTATTTTCACTTTCCTTTTTTTTTGAAGATATTGTATTGAGCTAGTAAAGTTTATTGTTTGATTACATTTTTTTTGCTCCGAGGCTCTTTTGAAATTTATGTTTATTGCACTGTTATTACTCAATTATTTCGTCTTCATTAACTTTCTGAATTTTTTAAACGATCCTTTATTTTGTAATAAATAATTTGTATAGAAAATATTTGTAATAAATATATAATAATAAATAAATTGTATATAAAAAATAATTAAATAAATTGTATAGAAAATATTTGTAATAAATATATAAATAAATAGGAAAGCTAAATAGAAATCTGTTTATATGTGTTATAAAATCTAAATCTGTGTTTTGATTTTTTAAAGGAAAACTAAATAGAAATCATCTGCTAATAAATGCTAATAAATAGAAATGCTAATAAATAGAAAATATAAATAGAAATCATCTGTTTATATGTGTTATAAAATCTAAATCTGTGTTTTGATTCTTTAATACAAAGAATTTATATGATTATAAAATAATTATTTAAATTTATTTAAATTTAATTATTTAAATTTAAAAAATTAATTGTATAATAAAATGGCATTTAGACAAAATCTATAAAATTTGTACAACATGACTATTATAATAGAAAATATATAAAGTTCTGGACAAAATTATAGCACAAATGTAAAATAAAAATTGAAAGATAAAAATTTAGCAGAAAGTTGAATGGAAAGTTCTAATTATTTTTTTTATCTGAAGAATAACATTTTACTTTTTACAAAAATGATTGAAAATTGAAAATACATTTAAAGTTAACATGTTTTAAAAAGTTCACTTAAGAATAATACAGAAAAATAAGCTGGTCAAAATTATAGTACATAGTACTAGTTTTAGATAAAAAACATTAGAATTTGATTTAATATGAAGAAATAGTCCAATCAACAAATTTTTACGCCAAGTGAGTCTCTTCTTTTTCTGAGCTTCATTTCAATAACAATGTTGTTTCTGTGTGTAACTTTTCAACCCTTTTTCTAACAAACGACAATGAACTGTTCTTGCACTAATGGTTTTTCTTTTGCAGCATTCAATTCTATAGCAATTTTTCTACCTGAATCTATACGATTTTTTTTAGCAAGTGTCACTTTATAGCGGTCTTCTCTAGAATTAGTGCATCTACGATGTCCTTGACCTGCTCTATTTTTTATTGGTAAATTTAATTTAATTTAATCAGCAATATTGTAGACAAATTTTCTGGAACGTTTAGTACATTTAGCAATATCAGCAATATTAAATTGGTGTTGTAAGTTTATTCATTAATAATGGTGTTGTAAGTTTATTATTAATCAGCAATATTAAATTAGTGAAGTAAGTTTTTTACAAGTTGTCACCTCTCAGAGCTCACTGCTTTGTGACCCATTGCATTAATTATGTGTTAATTTTAAAATTACTAAAAAAATTATAAGATTTGCTATTTTAAATAAGCAATATGACGCTAGTAGATGAATAAAATACCATACACAACAATGCGTCAATGCATTTAATCATACACACTGTCAAAATTACAAATGAATGTAAGTGTGCTATAAATTTGACCAACATTTTTTGTATATATTTGTACAATTGTTCATTTCTACGATGAATAATGACTAAAATTTTTAGTTTTATGTGCACATTTTAAATGGCTAATGTAAACACATTTCAAAAAATACAGTACCTCTCAACAATATGTATAATGAATACAAAAATTTTACATGACAATCTTATTTTAAAAGTTTGTGCTATAATTTTGTCCGGTACTGTATTTTATGCTATAACATCTTTTTTAGTTATACTTTAATTCCAAACACTAAACTTATAGACAGTTTTGTAATTTTTTATGTTTTAATATATATAATAATGTAAATAAACTTATTTTTAGCTGTCAAATATTTGGTAAATAAATGTAATGCAGAGTTGGTGGAAATTTCGATACCAGAACTTCATGTACAGTATTTTTTTTTTATTTAGGACTTTTATGTTATGCTTTTTTTGTATATGATTTTTATTCTTCTAGGTATTTTTTAAAACATGATCATATTCGTTTTTATTTAATGCAGTTTATGTTGTTTGTAGTTATAAATTTATATAGTTTTGTATTTCAGGAATCAGCTAATGCACTTTATGTTACAATTTTAACTGAAATGGCAAACGGTTGCAAAACAATATACAATCAACATCATGATAAACTTGTAAGTTTGATGTATTATCCTCTAATTTATCTTCTATATTTTATAATTTTTTAAAATGTTGATGTAAAACATGCATGAAAAGGTTTTTTTTTTTTTTTAAATAGAATGCAGATTCAGAAATCAATTTACAAATTGGTGGATCATTCACAGCAGTTGAATATTACGAGGTTGTGCTTATATTTTTAATGTTTAGTTATTTGATTTATATTTTGGATTATAGAGGACATCCATAAAATGCAGTAAATTTTTTTTTTATAAGTGTGGGTTTAATAAAAATAATATAAAATAATTAAATTGAAATAAAATTAAAAATAAAAATAGTTAAGTTGTTTTAAATGCTTTAAAGCTTATTAAATAAAAAATTGTTTTAAAAAACTATATCAAAAAAGCATACAGTAGTTATGTATAAGAAAAAGTTACATATATATAAGGTGATGTCAATTATAAAAGAAAAATTATAAAGTATATTATATATTAGCATTATTTTTTTTTTCCAAAATTATCTCGATTTCTTTTTTCTCTCATTATTTATGAAGAAATTTAAGAAAATTGTGACTGAAGTCAGAAAAACAATCCTAATTCTAATTTGCTACACACATGAAATTTAATGTTTTAAAAAAAATAAAATTAAGTTTAAGAGAGATAAAACCGCATACGTACTCACTGTCTTTAACACCCCTCCCCCCTTGTATGCGTTCATACGCTTTTGGGAAACCCCTTCCCCCAAACCAACGTACGTACTTTATGGATGGTCCCTAATAAAAAATGATTATACAGCAACCGTTGTGCAGTGGTTAGAGCATTTGCTTTAGAAGCAATAGACCTTGGGTTAGAAGCAAGCTCTAGGTATATTTCACCATCGGTAAGAAAAAAGGTTTGAACTTTCTAGTTTAATACATTTCTGATGTACTCCGTTGCAAAACTGTTAGGTCTTTTCGGAACATTTAAAGCAAAAAAAAATTTATATAACTTATAAAAGTTCTTAAAATATTTTTTAATTAAATGTGTTTTTAAAATCCGAAGTCAGTTAAATTCGGTATACACATATAAATATAAATTTGTCATTCATATAAATTCGAGTTTTAATAAGTCGACTTCGCCAGTCCCTACAGTATTTTTTGATGTAATATGTAAACATTTAAAAAATCATTCAGTTCTTAAAAGTTTATTTAAACTTTTCTTATAGCATTTTTAATAGTTTATGTAATTATTAGGTTTTATTCAAGAATCTAGAAAAATTAGTGTAGAGCAGGTATATAAATCTGTTTAGGATTTATATGAAACATGTAAACACAGCAGTTTTATAAAAGTGTAATATATAATATCAACTAAAATGTGGAACCTTGTGAGTCCAGCTTTCAATAGTTGTGAAATAGTTATTCTTTCTTTAAAAACCCATGCATTTATATATCTACCCTGCGCATTGAATATTTATGCATATATATATCTACCTTGCGTATTGAATATCTATGCATCTATATATCTAGCCTGTGTAACATCTTATAAAGCCTCATAAACCTCATGAAGCTGTTTTAAAATATATTTTTCCATTCATATTCCATTTGTAAATATATATTTAATTTAATTCATTATACAGTCACTATTCTTGGTTTTTTTTTTTGTCAAATATTAAATGAGTAATAATTTTGTATGTATTAATTTATTTATTATGATATAAAAAGCAATTATATTTAAAAAATAATAAACTGCCGTAATTCTTAATGAATGTGGGTATAAATCTAGAGTGACTGATGTATTTTTCCATAACTAAATATAATCTTTATTTTTAAACTTGTTTCTTAAATTTTTACATTTTACTTTTAAAATGTAAAAATTCAAGAAACATGTCATTACCATTATGAAAAAACTCTCGACATATTTAACTAAGAGTTTAAATTAACACCTTTGTTTAAGGCTATCTACAGATTTGTTCAAATTTAATAAATTTCACATATATTTCACATTGTGGCTATTGCTTAATGAAAAAAAGTTGTTGTACCATGAATTACTTCAAAATCAATTTCTCCCTAAATCCTTGCTGTTGTTTGCTTTTTTGTGTTGTTGTTGTTGTTTTTTTTATTGTCAAATTTTTTTAGATCTTTCTCTTTGGTCATTGTGTTTTTTGTTTTTAAATAAGTCAATTAAAACATTTTTTAATGGTGAAAATAGTCAAAATGTTAGACTTTCCCCCTCTCCTTTTTTTTTAATTGGTATATATTGGTAATATATCCGAAAAATGAAAGCTAAAGAAAATTTAAGAATGAAAATATGTTAGCACCTGAAAAACAAGCAATGAATGTTTTAACAATTGAATTATGGCGTAAACACTTATAATATTTAAGAAGTATTTTTTCAGGAATAGAATTTTATTAAAAAGTATTTAATATCAATTTTCTAGAATAGCAGTAGTTGTTCTCTCAATCCGCTAGTTACTTATGATACAACAGGTTGACTTGTATAAATGCGAGTAAGACAAATAAATACAAAATTTGATTTCTAAATATAAGAAAAATATATTAGGTTTTTATAAGCTCAAAACTTTCACCCTGGTGAGCTATCATTTTTAAGGAGTTGCGTAAACATTAAACATTTGTTAAAGGTTCGTCAAAGTTATCAGTTATCTACAACATAGTCACGCATCTTCCTAGTTCATTAATTGATAAACCATAGACAGTGGTTAAATTGCGGGGGAACGGCATTCCCTTACTTCCTTTAGGACAAGCCAATCGTACCCTCACTTCAAAATAAAAAATTAAAAAAAAAAGATTTTTCATAGTGACAATATTAAAATGAAAGTACCCTTTCCAGATGCATGAGAAGCGAAAAAATACCATAAAAACTACGTAAAATGCGTTGGCGGCTGGGGCTTTGCCCAAGACTCCGCTAGGGAAGCTTACAGCGCTCCCCAGACCCTCTAACTGGTGAGTAGGGGCCTCTTCCCCTCCCCAAGAACCCCTCCCCTTTCTCTCCCCATAAATTGCAACTTGCCTAGGACCCTGTCTACAGTTCCCCTTCTTCTTTTTTTCCCAAATTAATCACTGACCATAGAAGACTTTATTTGGATAAAGTCATTTATCCTAATTTTCAAAACCTTTCTTCCTTTTTCTTTTTTTTAATTTTTTACTATCTAAAACTATTATAAAATGTTTTTAACTATGTTGTTAAGTTTTTTTAATGATGTTTTTTTTATTTATTAAGGCTCAGAAACAACGCACACGTTCCATGAACATTTTACAGCGTTTGTTTTCGTCTGTAGATTGTATAGTTAATCCAAGTAAGCAGTTATATAAATAACTAATGTCTTTGTTAATTACTGTAATACTTGATTTAGCGTCTTTTTTATAGCTTTTGGGGACTTTATGCCAAAACTAAACGATGATATACTTAAATTCGGATACACAAACATTGCTCATTTATCAAAAATTACTCGGTAAGCTTTTTTTTATATAGCCGAATTCATTTAATTAAAGTTGCTTATGATTGAATTTATAAGCACAGTAATTTTTTTAGAACTCTTTTTTAATAGACCTCGATAATTTAGTGCGCGCGAACATTTAACAGTACGTCATTGTTCCTTGTGCGCAGAATCACATGAAAGAAAGTAAATACACAAATATATTATGAAAGCATTCTTGAAAGAAACAGTTGTTTACATGAGATTTCTTTACTTTTATATATATATATATATATATATATATATATATATATATATATATATATATATATATATATATATATATATATATATATATATATATATACATATATACATATATATGTGTGTATATACATATATATGTGTGTGTGAGTGTGTGTGTGTATATATATATATATATATATATATATATATATATATATATATATATATATATATATATATATATATATATATATATATATATATATATATATATATATATATATATATATATATATATATTATATTAAAATAATAATAAAATACAATTAAATTTGTAACATAACTCAGAGTTTCACGCTATATGCGATCATCAGACGTTACAAACAACCATAACAACAACAAAAATTATATACAAAAATACAATACAGTGTTAGCTTAGATGACGTTAAAGTTGCAGATAACAAATTTGTTTTCGTGGCGACATTTAGATATTAATTCATTTCGCTTATTTAATAGTTTCAAAGGTGATGTAATGATATGGTATTTTTCCGTTAAACAAAGGTTACATAACTTTCTTCCAGGTCTGCCCTATCAATAATTTTCCACGTAAGAATAGGATTTGAAAATCCCTTTTTTTTCATTTCCCAGATATATTTAGAAAGTTCTGTGGCATTAACTTTACTAAAAATACTATATATAAATATAATATATATTTGCTCTACTTTTGTATTGAGCACTGTCTACCGAAAAATTACTCTTATTACTGGTATATATATATATATATATATATATATATATATATATATATATATATATATATATATATATATATATATATATATATATATATATATATATATATATATATATATATATATATATATATATATATATATATATATATATATATATATATATATATATATGTATATATATATATATATATATATATATATATATATATATATATATATATATATATATATATATATATATGTGGCATTAGCTTTACTAAAAATACTTTACTAAATATAATATATATTTGCTCTATTTTTGTATTGAGCACTGTCTACCAAAAAATTACTCTTATTACTGGTATATATATATATATATATATATATATATATATATATATATATATATATATATATATATATATATATATATATATATATATATATATATATATATATATATATTAATTACTATTTAACAATCTTCTTTCCCGAAAGCTCATTTTTATTAATCAATATTAAATACTTTTATACTCAACATACAAATTTGTTTTTTTCTTGATTACAAATATTATATAACAAAAACATATAAACAGTATAGATTTTAAACTTAAAATGGGTAAAATAAACTTATATTAAACTAAATCAATGTCTTTTTAAAAACAAATTAAAATAATCTCATGTAAACAACTGTTTATTTCAAAGCATTTTCATTATTTATATGATTATTTACTTGATTTCATGCGATTCTGCGCATAAAGTATCATGACGTAATATTAAATATGCGCGCGCATGAAATTATCGAAACTGTGAAGACGTCTATTGCAAGTTTTAAATAGTATTTTTTTTTTTGTTCAAAGACTTTTTTTTTGTTCGGTTTAGATTTTCAACTCTCGGTAATTTGACTGGCATTCCGTCTGTTTCAGTACCAGTTGGTTATTCCTCAAACAAGCTACCCATCAGTTTGATGGTTCAAGCATCATGGTGGAGAGAAGATCTTGTTTATCGAGTGTCTCATGCTCTAGAAGAGTGCTGTAAAATACGCCAACCTGATGTTTACTATGACGTTTTGAATAATTAGATAACAAGATATTTTATATTTGAATAATGTGTTGCTGTTACTTTTTATTGTTTGTTTGTACTATTCCACTTTTTCAATCATGGCATTTATTTTATTGAACAAAAATTTTTACTTTTAGTTGGTCTTTATATCAAAATGCTCAAATCAAGCCGTCGTTGGTATGGCGTGCACTCTAAGCAATTTTTACAATTTTTTTTTTTTTGGTTTGTCTTTTTCTGATTCGCGGATTGTATTTTTAATTCAAGTGATTCCGTAGTTTTTATTTTATTTATAGTATTTTTTGTTCTTTTGCTAGAAAGAAATACAAAATATATAAAAATAGAGAATAATAATTTTATATAATTTACATTTTTAGCCTAATTTTTATTTGTAATTGTATTTTTAAAGCTTCAATTTTTTATCAATATTAAATTAGCATAATAAAATTAACTTGTAACTTTATTTATTTTTATTTTTTAATCATCTATACGGTAGAAATGGTTAACTGCGGAAATATTTCACTTAAAGTTGAATAAATTGTTTGTTAGAGCCAACCACTGTGGACCAGAGCAACCGCCAGGGTTGGTTCCAAGTTGTTCCCCAGGTCTGATGTTTTTTTCCAATAGTTAGGTATACATTAGTAAACACCATTTGTTATATTTAGATATTCTGAGGGATTGGAAAATGTAAAAAAAGTTGTTTAAAAAATTTTTTCAATACATAAAGTTAAACCAACTTCATAGAAATCTATACGACCTCTATAAGACCAAGATGGCGTACCTAGGGAACTGGATGGAGAAGATATCCACTATAAAATTCTATGTTTAAGTTAATCTATTTTTTTTTTTTTTTTTTTCTTTCTCTTTTTTTTTTTAATTACTTTCAAATTAATACTTCTGTTTTCTTTACATACATTTTTTTAACTAGAAATATGGAATTAAAAAAACCTTTTTTTTTTCAGTTTCAGTATTACTCGTGATACAATAAAATATTACTATTAAAAGTACTTTACAAATATCTATATAAAAAGCGTGATAACTAGGTTTCCGACAGAAGATCACAAAGATCTTATCATCGGAACCTTGAAAACAATAATAAACAAATTAACAAATATCTTGTAAAGTATACGAAGGCACTATCAGAGGGGGAGCCATATGGCCTGGGCCTCGGATTTTGTTGGGGCCTCACATTTTCAAAACACATTTTTTAAACACCAAAATAAATTTTTTTTTATTTATTTATTTAAGTGATCAAATACAAATACAATAATCCATTTATAATTTGATGAAGAGGTGCTACACCAGGCCCCTCTATGCTTACGAACATGGAGATACAGACGCTACAGACAAAGCAGCAGTTGTATCTATAAAGTTACTTTCTTGTGTTATTTTTGAAAGCGTTGATGGATTGAGCGTTCACTGCTTCTTGCGAAAATGCATTCAATGGGGCGACAATTCTGTTTGAAAAAAAGTTATATCGCTCCTCACAGTTTTTTACTATCTGACGTACTAGTTTATGGTTACGGCCTCTTAGAATATACTTATCTTTACTTTTTGAAAATTTTTGCGGGACGACAAAACTGACAAGCTCGAGTTTACGAATGATTTTGAATTGCTTGATAAGATCTGCTCTTTTGCGGCGTTCTTCAAGAGTTGTTAAACCAAGCCGTTGGAGTCGATCTTCATAGGACAGGTGTTTAATAGTCGATATTTTTTTTGTTGCTTGTTGTTGGACCTGCTCGAGAATGGTAATGTCTGATTTTAAATGTGGTGACCAGGCTTGTACAGCAAACTCAAGATGGGGACGAATGTAAGTGAGATACAGAGTGCGCCATAAATAAAAACTGCGACTGCGAAATCTTTTTTTGAGAGAGAAAATAATATCTCAAAGTTTCTAATTACTCTAAATAATTTAACTTTAAGTTAATTTAAGTTAATAAATTAATTTCTTTTTCATAAATACAAATTTCCAAACCTAAATCCGACATGATAAAGATTACGTCATGTAATGATGCAATTAACCCTCCGTCGGGCGCGCTTGATCAAATTGATACAAGTCAATTATTTTTACCTCGTGTCAATTTTCATTGACATGTCAAATTTCATTTACATGTCATTTGACATGTCAATGACATGTCAAATTTCATTGACATGACATTTCAAACATTTCATTGACATGTCAAATTTCATTGACATGTCAATGAAATTACCCGGATTACCTTAATGAGTCTGATCTGTTGTTTCTGATTCCATATCTAGAACTTTATTTGCACTTGCATTTTCCGGTAATGAGATTTCGGGTTGTTATTCCAAAAAAGTGTTTTCTGCAATTGGAACAACTTTATTTTCAATGTTACCACTGCCACTTACACTTTGAGATTAGTTTGCTGGTTCAATTTGAACTGTATTTTGTGATTTTTTTTAAAATAAATATTTTTCTTCGAGTTGGTGCATGCATCTTTGGCCGATTCTTTTCTTCGCCGCCTTTTACTTGAACCACTACCAAATTTTCTCTTTATTTTAATGGTGTTTGAAAATAACATTAAAAATTTAAACATAAAAGTTTATACATCAATCAAACTTATACAAATTTATATATTGAATTATGTTTAAAAAATTAAAAATATTTACCAAAACAAAAAAATATTACAATTCAAAAAAAAAAAAAAATTACAAAAAAATATTACTATAAAAATATTACAAAGTTACAAAATGTAACGTACAAAACGTAACGTACAAAGGCGCAATATATCAGTTTATACAAAATGATAAGAAACAGTTCAAAATAAATTTATTTAATTTCGTTTGATGAAGTACAACTAAAAAAGAAGAGAAAAAATAAAGTAATAATCCCAATGTCATGACATTGGGATTATCATGACATTGGGATTATTACTTTATTTTATAATAAATAATTTACTTTTATCTGAACTCAAGACTGAAAATGAAAATTGGAAAAAATTATTCCAACGTATTCTAGATGTTATTTTTTTTCTTTATGAACGTGGATTAATACTTTTTGGTTCAAATCAACTATTAGGTGATCGAGCGAATGAAAACTTTTTAGATATTATCGAATTTCTTATCAAATATGACCCACTTTAAGCTGAGCATGTTAAACGTTTTCGAGAATCACAAGAAGCGAATGCAAGATCATATTCAGTACGAATTTATTGATATTTGTATGAGTTTATGAATATTTGTGGTTCACATGTCCAAACAGCAATCCTCCATGAAATTGTAAAAGCAAAACACTTTTCAATAATAGTTGATGCTATTCCAGATTGCTCGTACAAGGAGCAAACTACTCTAGTTATTCGTTATTTTAAAATTTTAGATAATTCAAATTTTTCAGTTAAAGAAAGATTTATTTTATTTGAAAATTTCTCAAAAAAATTTGGAAGAGAAATCGCTGCTCGAACACTAAAAATACTAAAAAATTTAAAGCTGGATTTCGAAGCCTGCATTGGTCAAACTTATGACAACGGTGCTAAATATAGCTGGAAAGTATAACGGGATGCAAGTGGTTTTGATAGAACAAAATCCAAACTGTATGTTTTCTAGCAACGGGAATCACACATTAAATTTAGCTGGTGACAATTGCGCTGAATCGTGCAAAGATGCAGAAACGTATTTCGGAACAATTCAGTAAATGTACAATTTATTCAGTAGCAGTCCTCTAAAGTGGAAAATTTTAAACAACATTTTTCTGTTTCGTTGCATGAAATGTCCAAAACAAGATGGTCAGCATGGATTGATGGTATTAAACCAGTTGCACAACATTTGAATTCAGTAAGAAGTGCTTTAAATGAACTTGGGGTGCTACATTTATCAGCCCAGGCTGAAATGGAACTCAATGCTCTTCAAAAGTATATTTCCAAATTTGATTATATTTTGATGTCATCTCTCTGGATGAAGCTACTCACAATGGTTCATCACAGTAATCTAATCATCGAGGCACGCCATGCTATTTTTGATGTTGAAAAGGATAACATTGAAAATCTATGTAACGACATTCAAAGGTTGCGTGAGCAATTTGATAAGATTTTAACTGAGTCAAAATTTGTTGCAAGAAATATTAGTGTTTCATGTAAGTTTTTAACTAATCGTTATTTTCCAAGCCAAGATGATGCCGAACTGTATTTTAAAAATCAATTTATATTTCGTCATTATTGACTCGATTCAATCTGGCCTCACGCGACGATTTCAGTCGTTACAAGAAATTTGAAAACTTTTTGAATTTTTATGGCAGTTTAAAAATTTGAATGACGAAGATCTTGTAATGGCTACTCAACATTCTCAGCATAAATATGACAAAGAAATCTCACAAGAACCTAAAAATGAGGCTTTATTTTTTAAAAGAATCTATGGTGTTAATTTTAAACTAGATTGCACACCAATAAAGGAAATTCTAGGACTTGATCTTTCAGGTGTTCTTCCAAACATTACAATTGTATTACGCATTTTCAGCTTGCCTGCATTGACGGCTTCGGGCGAACGTACAGTTAATGTTTTAAAGCAGATAAAAAATTATCATCGTTCAACTATGGGACAGGAACGGTTAAATGGACTCGTACAAAAAACGTCACATCTGTGAGTGACGGTCTGTCCAATTATTTGCATTTATTCTGAAAGTTACACATTTATCTGGTCCCAAACTATCTGAAGATTTAAATGGCTTTGCATTAACTTGCGTCTCGTTTGGCGCAAATCTTCCTTTTGGGACCTCCGATTTATAACTGGCCAGGGCCTTTCCAAACCTGAGGGCCTGAGTATACGTTACAATAAATTAAAATAAATATATATAACTTTTTTCCATAAGCATAACTTTAAGCAATATAAGCAACATATTTAAATGTAAAAACAATATAAATAGTTGTAAACAACAAAACTTTAGAGAAAAATCCAAAATAAAGTTAAAAAATAGATCAATTAATTAGTAATACTGTAATAAATGTTTTCAATGGAAAAAATTAAATTTTTTATTTTGTTTTTAAAAAGACAAAGAATTTGGTCAATCAAAATCGAAATTTGGTAAAAAAAATTTATTTCATAGGTGCGGTGCATGATAGGCAAGACAAAATTGATTAAAATTTGTTTAACAAAAAGGTTCGTTAATTTTTTTTTTTAATAGTGTAC